GTCATTCCTAGGTGACCTGAAGTTGCGTCGTAGTGCATGGTATGAAGTACAGAGGAGTGTAATGTGACCGAGACTACCAGCAAGAAGCGGGAACCCATGGCCAAAAAGTTCTTTTCTTAAAGTAATGCTTGACAAACACATAAGCGTCCTGCCACACTAAGTGGAATGAAATGAAAACAAAAACTTTATTTCAGTCCTGCAGGACGCGCTTAGCGCGTAGCGGGCGTCTCCCACGTAGGAACCGACAGGGAGTACCTGGCGGCCGCTTCGTAGGCCTGCTGGACGGCCTATTGCTGGTCGGCGAGAAGTGAGCTCCTGAGGGACCTCTCCCACTTGCTTGAGGTAGAGTCGGGAGGAGTTGTCCTACACTCCCAGAGCATGTGTGCGAGTATCGCTGTGAGGCCACATGATGGGCATGTGTCGCTGGGGTATGCATTAGGATAATAAACGTGAAGCGCAGCGAGGTTTGGGTACGTGTGTGTCTGTAATAGGCGTAGGGTTAATGCCTGCGGTCTGTTAAGTTTCGCATGGGGGGGGGGGGTGGAAAATGCGGCGTTCCGGGTAAAAGTGCCTTGTTATGTCATTGTACGTAACGGGTGCATCCCGATTGGTATCTAACTCAGAAAGATGGGGTTGCCCTGTGGCGGTGCGGTCGGTAAGTGCGTGCGCTGCATCATGGGCGATCTCGTTGAGGTTGGATAGGGCACCTGTCACCTGGCCGAGATGGGCGGGGAACCAGATGACAGTGTTGTGCTTCAGCGCAATCGTGTCCACTTTGCGCAGGATACGTAACGCCTGGTCGGAGATGACTCCGCTTTCGAAGGCTTTGATGACCGGCCTGGAGTCGCTTTAGATGAATTCCCGTTTGCTGTCGAGCATAGCTGTAGCTATAGCTACTTGCTCCCCTACTTCGGGGTTCGGGTGAGGATTGTGACAGAGTTAAGAGTCTGCTGCTCGGATGATACGGTGACCGCGGCGAAGGTTCGGTTGTTGAGATAGGCAGCAGCGTCCACGAAGTAGACGTTGTTCGCTTCCATGTCTATGCGCTTGAGAATGGAAGTCGCCCGCGCAAGGCGCCTGCCTCTGTGGTATTCGGGGTGTACATTTCGTGGAATGGGAGCGATCGTGATAATGTCGCGGATTTCACGGGCGTTTTGGCGTACATAACACGCCAGAAGAGAACGCCAAAGCTCAGGAACGCGTGCAACTGCCACAGTAAATACTCGGTCGTCATTAAATAACAACTCCAAGCTTGCATTATTCCGCTGCTCATTTTCAAAGGTGTTCTTGTCCGAGATTATTGGAGTCACTAACGCAATTATGTTATCGAAATTGTCGGCATCGCAAAGTTTTGTAGTAAACGGCAACCGCGAAAAGCATTCAGCGTCAGCGTGCTTCCTGCCGCCTTTATACAATACCGTGAAGTCATACTCTTGCAAGTGGAGCACCCAGCTTGCAAGGCGGCAAGTTGGGTCTTGAAGGCTTTCAAGCCAGCAGAAAGAATGATGGTCTGTGACCACTTGGAAGGGACGACCATACAGGTATGAAAAGGATCACTGTACAGCGAAGACGAGTGTCAAACATTCTTGCTCAGTAACTTTGCAATTCTGTTTCGGTTTGCTTGAAGTTCTACTGGCATATGCAATTACATGTTCCTTTTCGTTGCAGCGTTGTACTAGAAGTGCACCTATGCCATTGCCACTGGCGTTAGTATGAACCTCGCTCGGCACAGAAGGATCAAAGGGCTAGAGAACAGGCTGCGACGTGAGTAAGAGCTTGAGTTGGTTCTAGAACGTCTCATATTCATGTGTCTATTCAAAACTAGCACCTTGACGGACGCTTTATAGAAAACCAACATACAATAATTAATGCCTAGATTTTATTGGTCATCACCCACGACTCTGTAAAAAAACCATTTTTGTCGGACAAGCGAGACGTATGAGAGAATCTGTAGCCGTGACGCAGATTACGTTCACCATTCGAACAACCTAAAAAACTATGTGTGAAAGAAATTACCCGCAAGCCCTCTAAAAAGGGCCACAGTGAAGCGTGTAAACTAGATAGGAAAAAGAATACTAGCTAACAGAACTCCCGCAGCACAACTCAACCAGCTGAGAGAATTTATAATCAAACACTCAAACACACTGAAAAACACAAATAATATCCTTCAGAAGTGCTGTCCAAGTCTGGCAAGCAAAGAGTGGCTTAAAAAATGTTTTCCCGAGTACCAAAGGTCATGTAAATTTTAGTACGTTTAAAAGTAAACCCGCATTCTACTGCTCAATTAGAATTCGCTCTCATCCATGACGCAAGACTTGCAAACAGTTTCAAGATGACATGATTATTTAAAGCACCAGCAGTGGTTATTATTGCTCGCATCCAAGACGCAAAACTTTTAAACACCTTCAAGACAACATTATTCTTAAGAGCACTGACAGTGGTTATATCTATACAAGTCTAGTTTTACCTGCACTAGTGCATACGTTATCTATGTGATCGAATATGTCATGAAAGGTACATTTGCGAAACAGGATAGACTGTTAACGTTAGATGAAAGTATTGGCTCGCACACGCGACACATAGGTTACGGAAAGCAGTGGCACAGCATTTTAACGTAGCAGGACACAAATTCAACGATCTGAGACTCTAAATACTACCTCCAAACTTCCTATGTGCAGGAAAGAGTAAACATACAATGTTGTACCTTTGCCTCAAGTTAGAAACACCCCAACCAGCTGGTATAAAAGTTTTTAAAAGGGCTCTTCGATTCACTCGGTATGGTGTAGCACACACAAAAAAACAAAGCGAATAAAAGTCCTCCATCTAGAAATTTCAAAACTACCATTGTTGACTGCTGAAAACCGTGATTCAGAAAAACCAGTACATCCTCACCTGCGCACCACTTTCTCAATTTATTTTTATTAACGGAAAGCCTGTCCACTCTTCACTAATAGAATTTGTCACAGCACTCAGCCCCCGCTTTTAACACCCGCATATCGAATGTTGTGTGCACCGCTCCCTTTGTTATGAGGGAGGAGAGGGTATTAAGCGTAGATACGATAGTGCTGAAAACATCAGTGCTGTTGTAGCCTTGAGGAAGAGAAGTCCACTTGTTGAAACGTCAGCTCAACACCTGTTTACGGATATTTAAAGAGAACTTTCCATCTTTCTCTTCCAGCATTTTTTTTTTGTTTTTTGGATTGATCATCATAGGCGCTTTGTAATTGTACCTGCTAAATATTCATATTTGTTAACCTCAGTGAAACGGCAGTTATTAGGAGATACATTTATTCAAAACAGTTTTTCCTATTAGTTGTTGCATGACAACTCATTTATCACTCTATAATTTTATACACTGCTTTTCACAACACTGATACATGATTCATTGGTTAGACTGCAGGCATTTCTGGTCGTTTCGACAGTAATAGATTTCAAAGATATGCAGTCGTCTGCAAAAAACATTATATCTAGTTGAAATACCAGACATATGCTCAAATGGTTTAACACACTGCTTGAAATTTTGCAGGTAAAACAGATCCAGTCAATAACGTTGTACGAGGACGCAGGTTATGAAATTCAAAAAAGAGTTTGCTGTGCGCGACAAGATTAAAGGCTTCAGTAAAATCTAGAACATTGCATCAATTTGACTCCTCGTATGATGCGAGGACGTGAACTTGGTAATTGTCCTGACTAGTGTCGTTGTGGTGAATGTTGTTGTTCCAAATTTTTGCTGTAATGGCGACAGCAAGCTGCTTTCTTAAAAAAATGTAGTGAGGTAATATGTGACTATACAGTCTTGTAACTTACGTCACGTACGCGTTAAAAAAATAGGTCTGTATTTTGCAATGTTTACATAATCTGTTTTCTTAAATAACGGTACAATGCCTACCATGCGCCAATCACTAGTTTTGAAGAAGTTTTCAAGTAGAGACAAGAAAAAAAACGTGCGCCACAGGTTCAACATACCTAAGCAAGAAAGTGTTTGGAGCAGTTTCTGAACCAGCTGAGGAAGTATGGCTTTCAGGTTAGGCAGCAACAAAAATGTACCCCCATATGTTATGAACTCTGAAGACATTACTAAAGGAAGCTTGCATGTAGCAATTCATGCTGCGGAGAAGAAAATATGCAGCCAAACTGTATGATAATTTATACGTTGTAATCAACGCATCAGTGCTAACGGAACTGACAATGGTTATTATACTGGGTGTAGCCTGCGTTTTTTCTATATAGCGCCCGAATTTTCAGTTTTTTGTCAGTCAGGCAACGATTGGGGGAAACACCTACATTTTGCGTCGGAGAGTTTGGAAGAATACTAATCAAAAGCAGTGTGAGACGTCCTCTGGAGCTTCTGTGTCTTGATGAAAAACAGAAAGATACGAAGGCTTGCTGGACGGATCAAGATCGACATTAAGCAATAGTTTTTTTTGTGCAACAAAGCATTGCTAACTCTGAAGCACTCATGTTGTTTGGAGAATTGAAACACTCATCTTTTGAATTTTGTATGTGTCAGCATGTCGTGTGAACCACGTGCTCGACATCGTCAGTAGTTTTTTTGAAACTCGAAGTAGGTTCACTCAAATTATTCTAAACCTTTGACTGATATGTTGGGTATAACGTCCCTAACCACCACATTATTACAGCAGACGCAATAGTGGAGGGCTTCGGCAATTTTGATCGCTTAGGGTTCTTTAACGTGCACCCAATTCCATGCACGAAGACCTATAGCATTTCTGTCTTCATCGATATCGCAGCCGCTGCAGCCGGGATTCAATCCCGTGACCTGTGGTTCAGCAGTTGTGTAGGTTATCAACTAGACCACAGCAGTGGGGCTATTCGAAAACAATGTTTCGAAAAGTTTTGCGAGTAGAAAGTTTGAAAACAGCGCATTATTTTGCAAAAAACCTTCATCGCTGAAATTAATGTACACAAAACTGACTCGGCTGTCATAAACGGTTGAAGTTTATAATCCTATAAGATGTAATGTAACCTAAAATAGTAGATCAGAAATACTCACTAGGATTGTCTATATCTTGAAGCGTGGGAAAAAGTGATGCCACAAGCTTCTTCTCTCGCATAAAGCACCGACTTGAAGTTTGCCTAGAAAGAAAAGCATGTTGTGGAAGTAAAAAAGAGTGAGTTATTTGACAGAGCACTTGAAAAAATCTGAGGTCTAACTTGAGCTCCACACCACACCCACAATAGCTATAGTCTTAGGTATTTAGCTATGAAGGTGCCTAATTCGCTGATAATACGTCAAGTCGCTGAGATTGGTTATTCCTTTTTTTATTGAGATATACGTTTTTCTCTTAAGACAAAAGCGTGTTATACCAGAGCCTACCATGACTACACTCATGTATTACTGTCGTGGATATAACGTGGCAAACTATTGACTGTAAATACAGAGAAAAACTAGAAGAAGTATATCCGTCACCGGGCGTCGAACCTCTGTAGCCTACGTCTAGCTCCGCATTGCGCGACGCGAAACTGCCGAACAACACAGGCATACATTGTCAAGCTTTCTAAAACAAGATATTTATACACGCAATATAAATTGTATATAGAATTTCTAATATAAATTATATGCACGACCCTCAGAGCTCATAAACTGCAGCATGATTTCACCATTGCTAGTGAGACGACGAGACTGACACGTGTATCGTTGCTTCTGAGTATGGTTGCGCGTGCGCGCGCACTTAGCTGTTTGTACTTTCGAATACCCCGTGCTTGTGTGCACAAAAACGCATAAGAAAAAAACGAGAACATGCACTGAAGGCCAACAGCTGGTTTATTGTGCGTTAACATATATAAAGGGGGCGATAAAATAAGGGAGGGTGACAAAGGAAAGGAGGCTTGTGTGCATCGGTGTGACGAGAAAATTAGAATTTGGTGCTCCCACACATTGTCTGAGATATCGAAATACTTTGTCAGGCTGAGCGAATGAGCAATGACACATTCGGCACCATTGCACTTCATCGTGTACGTTACAAATATTTCCCGCGCCACAGTGTCCATCATATGCTAAACACTTGCTTTGTTCAACAATGAAGAGCACCCACAATCAAGCGCGACGGATAGCTACAAATATATCATGCTTGTTTTGTCGTTGTTGGCATGTTCTCATGAGCGATCATTGATACAGCCTCCCTACTTGGATCTGTGTGATCTCTCACACGTCGTCATAATTTCACAAACGATCTTTTTTCTTTTTGTAGCGCATATATGGCGGAGCGTGGTTCTTCCTCCAGGATTTGATGTCAGCAGAAGTTCCCTAGAGCACTTTGGCACAAATATTTTTTTTTATTATGAGCACAAAACGCCACCCCCACACCTGCTCTGCTAGCGGTTTTCTTGATCCTATGCGATGCTGCATCAACCCAAGGAATGACAACTGACTTTGAACTGTTGAGCTGAAGCTGTTGCTTTTTTTCGGAGCCTTTGATCTCTCGAACCAAGACTTCAGTCAAGGTAAAGTTGAAGGGATTCTGGAATCCACCGTCGCTTAGGCGCTTAAGCCAGTCATTCATGCTGCGGTAGGTTATTTGCAGGCCGCTGCAGGAGAGCATTCCTGATTGCTCAGAATACAACAGGAAGTTCAACTGTTTTTGGATATGCTCAAGGAAAGGGCAAGAGGCACTCTTTGGACCGTAGAGCATAAGCTTGTGTTCACTTTTACTTTCACTTTGTTTCCGTAAAGACTCTATGTCGGGGCATTGAATAGGGGGCAGGAAACCAGGAGATTGCATGACACTGGACGCACCAGGATGAGAAATGAGCTCTCATAGCTTTAATGAAATATTCTGCGTTGGTGATGACAATGATGACATAGGGATGACCATTACAGTGTACAGTGGTGTGGGGGAAAATAAAGGTGAGAGAGTGTAGGTTAGGGGCGGGCAACGTTTAAGAAATGGCTTGTACGAGGTTATATACGAGCTGGTAGGGATTGATAATGCGTCTGATTCAGTGAACCGTGGTGAATTTTGTGGTACAGAAATGGTGCGACAAAGCCACGGTAACGAGGAGGATGGGCTGGCCTGTTTCCGCCTTTAGTGAGGAACACGTTTAAAATGATATGCTCCATGATTTTGCATGGTATACTGAATATGGATCAGCCGCTACTTTATTGGTGAAGCTCTCTTACCAGATTTGTGAACCGAAATGATTTTGCCCACATGCCATTCGTTTAGTAGGGTGCTGTGGACAAAGGTTACGTCAACAACAAGATTAGGAGTGCCGAAGAAATATTTCCAGTAATTTTAACAGTTTAGAGGGGATGTTATCAAGAACTGTGTAAGTAGAAATATTTATTTTATCAATCAGTGACGCGAGCTCTCGGCCAATGTGTTTATATCCGGCTTTTTGATACGGTAGGCATAGAACAGTATGGTAGAGGAGTGGCTGTTTCACTTTATAAAACGGACAAAAATTTGGCATTGAATGTATCAGCATGGCCAGGATCTGAAAAAATATCACTGTGGTCATGGTAAATACAAATAGGGTGGTCAGAATGACAGTTCAAGGTCGGCTCTAATTTACGAGGGTTGTCAGTTTTCATGCTCGGATGGTCGAAGCCATGGTGCATCGTGGTCGAAGTTAAAAGAGAATGGTGATGTTCTCCATCTGCCGTGAGATATACGCGTTCAGCTTGATGGCGTCCGTCCCATCAGACTGCATATGATTTGCACATCGCTGAGCGAAAAAGTCGTTGTTTTTTTCTCGAGTGTTTTTTGTTTTGTATTTTTGTAAACCAAGGTTTATTGCAGCTTGAAGGAATGGTGACGACAGGATTATGCTTATTGGCCAACTCACTCATGCTGCCCTGAAGTAATGACGAGTTTTCTCACATACGATTTTCAAATACTGCTGCGGCGGCTGCATTTCCGATGGAGGCGGAAATGTGGTAGGCCCGTGTGCTCAGATTTGGGTGCACGTTAAAGAACCCCAGGTGGTCTAAATTTCCGGAGCCCTCCACTACGGCGTCTCTCATAATCATATAGTGGTTTTGGGACGTTAAACCCCACATATCAATCAAATACTAACCCATAGGGCTGAAAACATTCATGCAGTTCTTTGTTAATAGCAGAGTAGTTACATTTATCAAGGAAGCAGGGAATTTATTTTGAAGATTAATTGCACAAGGGTGCTTTCAGCGAAAAGGTAACATAGATTACCTTCATCATCAACATCAACATCATCATCATCATCATGCTGACTACGTCCACTGCAGGACAAAGACCCCTCCCATGTCCGCCGGCTAGCTCAGTCGTGTTCTTGCTGCTGCCATTTTATACCCGCGAATTTCTTAATCTCATCTGCCCACTTAACCTTGGTCCCTTTAACCCACTTGCCTTCTCTAGGAATTCAGTTATATACCCTTAATAACCAGCGGTTATCTTGTCTACGTGCTACATGCCTGGTCCTTGTCCATTTCCTCTTTTTGATTTCAACTATAATATTCTTTACCCCCGTTTGTTACTTAATCCACAATACTCTGTTCTTGTCTCTTAAGGTTACACATACTGTCACGCAGTTTATTTAAGTACAGACCTACTGGAAGGCCGAGGAACGCCAGAAGAGCGAGGAACGCCAACAGGCTGAAAATACAAAAACAAACGCAAGCTCGGGTCGCGCGCGTGCACCAACGCTGTGGCTTGCCGTTTCATGCTGCTTCGTCGTCGTTCGCATAGTTCCCTACATTGGCCCCCGGTTAATAGCGTAGCCAACCTGGCGACTTAAGGCGTAGTCACTATAGCGGGGTCGTAATACGGCTTCGGGTGACTCACATGCACGATTTCTCGGCCACGACGGCGTAAGTCATGAGACTGTGTCAAAGGCTCAATCTCATAAATGACTGGTGACGTACGGGCGAGAATGCGGTAGGGCCCGTGGTATCGTGCCAGTAATTTCAACGAAAGGCCAGGAGTGCTCGGTGGAATCCAGAGCCAAACGAGAGCACCAGTCACGAAAGTAGAGAGATGTCGGTCGGTGTCATGCCGTAGCTTCTGGTGGCCTTGGTCCTCGGTTGTCAGTGAACGGGCCAATCGTCTGCAATCTTCTGCGTACCGGGCAACATCAGAAATTGCAGTGTACTCAGAGGAGTCGGGCGTGTATGGGAGGATAGTGTCCAGCGTGCACGATGGCTCGCGTCCGTACAACAGAAAGAAAGGGGAGAACCGTGTTGTCGCGTGCGTAGCGGTGTTATACGCATACGTGACGAATGGAAGGACAGTGTCCCAATCGGTCTGGTCTGAAGCTGTGTACATCGTCAACATATCACCGAGAGTGCGATTAAATCGTTCTGTGAGGCCATTCGTCTGCGGGTGATATGCTGTCGTCATGCGATGAATCATGTTGCACTGAGCGAGCAACGCTTGAATGGCGTCAGACAAGAAAACACGCCCCCGGTCGCTCAAAAGTTCGCGGAGAGCACCATGGCAAAGAACAAAGTTGCGCAGAATGAAAAACGCAACTTCCCACGCGGTTGCTGCGGGTAGTGCTGCCGTCTCCGCGTAACGCGTGAGGTGGTCCACGCCGACAATTATCCACCTATTTCCAGAAGACGACGTGGTAAGTGGTCTGTATAAGTCGATAGCGACGCGGTCAAACGGACGCGCTGGACAAGGCAGAGGCTGAAGTGTACCGGCAGGGCGTTGAGGTGGGACTTTACGTCGCTGGCATGCAGTACAAGCACGTACGTACTTGCGGACAAATGTGTACATGCCGCGCCAGTAGTACCGCTGACGTAGACGGTTGTGCGTTTTGAGAGCGCCAGCGTGAGCGCTTTGCGGGTCGTTGTGGAAAGCAGTACAGATTTCCGAGCGCATGTGGTTTGGTATCACTAACAGCCACTTCCGACCTTCAGACGTGTAATTCCGCCAATAGAGTAGGTCATCTCGAATAGCGAAATGTGTGGCTTGACGGCGGATAGTTCTTGAGACCAAATTAGCTAATGGATCAGTCAGAAAGGCGAGGAGTTGGGAAATCCACACATCTTTGCGTTGTTCCGATGCCATGTCTGTGAAGTCGATTGGTGTTATGACAGCTGAAAAAGGTGACGAGGGGGTTGGGTCAACCGGTAGCGGCGAGCGGGATAGTGC